ATATATATGTATATATATATGTATATATATATATATTACATACCATTGTACCATTGTTAATAATAACATTTATTATGTAACATTTATAACATTTATTTTAATTTTTTTTAAATAAGCTTCTTCCAAAAACATTTGAAAATCTTACTGACCCCATACTTTTGAATGATAGTGTTTTGTCATTGTGGATGTGTTGTAAAGCCAAGAGCCCCTGTGAATATATAATGTGCTAAAGGTGAAATGACACTGATCTCTTACTGCAGTCAGCATTTTCTCTGCTTCAGCCTTCATGTGTCAGGACTAGCTCAGCTTGTACCTATAAGACTGAGCTATATCTTGATTTAACAAGCAGCTCTTTATGCATAAACCGTCTCAAAATGACAACTTTGCGGTTTATGTTCTCGTGCATGATGTGTTCCTTCATTAATTGCTTGTACACTCTGTCTCTGAACGAGTGTCACTGCCTACATTTTTCTTTCAGGTGTGTTTGTTTGTGTTTTTTTTCTGTAGCTTTCCCGGTTTCAAGTTCCTTTTCCTCTTCTCCACTGGGCTTCTCTGCCACTCCATCTTTGCTGGACCTGGGCTCGAGCAGGTCAGGAACTTCCACGCATAGACCTTTATAGTATATAATTAATCCACTGACTGTGTACATAATTCTATCCACACACAAAGTGACTTGTGTACTTATGTCTACAGCTCAAACTCCTCCCCCTCCACATCATTGGCCAGCAACTCTCCTATGGGCGGCCCTTCTGATTGGGCCGTCCCACAGGCATCGCGACTCAAATACAGGCAGCAGTTTAACAGCCTGGACAAGCAAATGATTGGTTATCTAACAGGTATTTATTTACAAAGGATTTTAAAAAGAAAACGGTTGTTTGTCTTATTAATATGCAAATAATATCCAAACGGATAGTTCAGATAGCACTAATGTACTATAGGTACTATATGTTCTCTTAAGGATGCCTGGGGACAAAACTTTTAAAATGTGATTACTGTGATAATCTCATGATTATACGGTTAATGTGGTATGTAGAGACTTTAGCTGAAGGCTAGTAGTGCAGTAGGATGGCAATCCACACCCATGTGGCTCATCTGCAAAGCAGTTGACTGTATCACTTACATACCTCATGACAAAGACCCATGTACTAGAGAATTTCAGGAATGAGGACGTGGGTACAACATGATTTTGTAAGGTTTATTTCACAGGTTTATGGCATTAAGTTTAATCCCACTACCTACATCTCAGGGGCAAGCTGTTTTGTTACACGTAATTTGAGAATGACACTCATTTTTCTGTGTGAAAAGAGTTTCTAGATGTCGTAATGTGTTGATGGTTTAGGAGGATTCCAGCATTGTGACTTTAGGAATATCAACCAGCTCTAGTCAGACCAGTTATTTTAGTACAGCAACAGTATCAACAAGCTGGTTGTAAAAAACAGCAATAAAAAAAGACAGTTTCTAAAACAGCAAATAGGCATTTTTCTCCCTATAATCTAGTAAAAATCATTTTCTATGAAAATGGTAATTAGCATCAATATGAATTCTTTTATTGCTTTTTTTTTTTTCATTTCTGCAGGTCCTCAAGTGAGAACTGCAATGGCTACAACAATGCTTACTCAGACTCAGCTAGCTGCCATCTGGTAGGTGTTTGCCCTCCCCAGTACTTGCATGAAGCATGGAGCTGGAGAGACAAAGAGAGGAGGAGAGACTCAAAGAGCTGGAGAGGAAGGAGGTGAGAGGATGTTTCAGGTTCTTTTTTCCAAAATGTGTTTACATTTCACAAAAAGTTTATATAGATGCACAAAATTCAGGAAAACATTTTTACTACCCATTGCTATGATGCTCCTTACAGGCAGCCAAGAAGGAGCTGGAGCGCCAGCGGCAGCTTGAGTGGGAGAGGAGGAGAAAGCAGGAGCTCCTAAACCAGAAGAGTGAGGAGCAGGAGGAGATCATCAAGCTCCGAGCCAAGAAGAGGAGTCTGGAGATGGAGCTGGAGGCTGTGGTGAGGATTTAGGACATCATGCTATCAACCACTACATTTCATCTAGACTCATTATGTGTGAAACCAAGCACATTCAATTTAACAACACATTTCTATTACGTACAAAATTATTATAATTCCTATTTTTGAAATGGACAGCGTGCTTGATAAAATATTTCCCTCTCTTTTTAGGGCAACAAGCAGAAACAAATCTCTGACAAGCTTCGAGATGCTGAAGGCAAAAAGAGAATTCATAAAAATGAGCTTGAAATGATCAACCAGAAAAGAGACTCCTGCATCACAGAAATCAACTCTCTGCAGAAACAGTTGGAGGTCTGACTGCTGCATCCGTAACAGCACCCATGAATTTTGAATGTGTCTTTGTGTATTCAAGTTAACTCTATTTATTAATTTATACTAAAATGTCCATTTATTCTTAAAAAAATCTTAATTTTAGATGTAGATTGCTTCATAAGTGCATAGCAGTAATCATGACTTGTATGTGATTTTTGCAGGAATTTAAAAGAAAGTTGGGACAGTCGACCATAGAACAGCAAAAACTCAATGACAGACTCCGCAGCCCGAGTCTGAACAACCTCCCTAGTAAGACACGTGGCCAATTATGTCCCCCCCCCCTTCCTCAAGTATTGCTATTTTAAACTTTTTTTTTTTCTTTTTTTCTTTTGATACAAGCATCTGGAATTGTGACAAAAAAACTTAAGCATGAATGATGTGTTGAATTGTAAAATAATAATAATAATAAACTTTGTTCCCTGTAAATGTGAGAGCACCAACAATTTGTATGTTTGTTTGTTTGTTTTGTTTTTTTCCTGATGCAGCTGCAACAGTTAAAACTTTACAGAGGAATGTAGAAGACAAGGATCTTACCTGTCGAAAGCTTAAAGAACAGCTTAATGCTTTGGAGAAGGAAACTGCAGTTAAATTAGCAGATATAGATCAGTATAAGAAAGAAATCCAGGTAAGCCATTAATATCACTCAGCCATGACTAATAATTACATGCAAACCATTCAGAGCAGCACAAACTGAGCTGCATGTTTAGCTAGACTAGTTGCACTTTACAAGATGCTGACTGACAGAGGACATTTTAACTTGAGTGAAAATATTTTAGTCCCCAGCTATTTAGCATTTCTGTAACAAGTCTTTCTTAACCGATCAGTGCTAACAGCATATAGACTGCTTCTGATGACACTAATGCGAGTAACCCCTATGCTTTTGTTCCTGTGTCTGTATCACTAGCTGTAGAGCTTTTCTGTCTGTCTGTCTACTTGTCTGTCTCTCCCTGGCTTTCGCTGCAGTTTGAGGAAATGGATGACTGCATGCTTAAAGGCCTGCTCTCTTTACTGAGTTGCCTCGGCAATCTCTTCTTCCTTTTGAAGGTCTCTTTTTTTCCCTTTTCCTGCTCACTCTTACTGTAGCAGCTTCACCTTTAGATCATTACCAAAGGTTCTTTCCTGCACATATTATCAGGGATGGATTAAAGGCAGAATAAAATTCCATTCACAATGCATTTAACTTCCATAATGTGACTCATTTCTAAGTGAAACAATATTTCAGTGGGAGATAATTTAGGGTGGGATTGAATATAAACATGTTATGTGATACTGTATTAGTGATTTATAATATTTCCTGTCTATCCTATCTTGTTTACATTGGAGTTCATTTCAGAGGTGGGAAACATGAATTTTTAAATTATTATTCGAAAAGGTTCACACGTGAATTGTGCGCAATAGGATTAGCAATATTTATTTTAAAAAGTGTCAGATAGGAGCAGTGTTATTTTAGCATCATTGGTAGACTACTATATTGTTTTTATTAATATTTTAAATTAGTATTTCTTTTTAGTGTTAGTTTTAATTTAAATGTTTAAGTTTTATTCATTTTGTGTTTTTGGCATTTTTATTAGTTTGTGTTTAATTTTTTTATAGTTAACTAAGACAGCAATGTTTTAGAGTGCATTCTGGCTTACAAGTCAGCGTGAATCCTTTTATTGTTATGTCCTTCTGACTGAAAAAGGATATTCGATGACGAGAAACTAGTCTAAATGGATTTGGAATGTGGAAAATTATGCATTGCATACCAGAATGGAGTCAGATGTGTGCAAGTTTGCTAAAAGCATTACCTTATGGTCTAAATGACAGTTTTTCTTTTTTATTAAAAGTTAAGCTAAAAATCAGGTATCTGTGTTAAGAATGTAAATTGGGTTGTTTTGGGTCTCTTACAGTTGAGTTCAGTGTGTCATAATCTTTTGGTTTGTTAATTAGGATCTCCGAGAGAGCCAGAGGACGCAACAGTCTGCTTTGGAAAAACTACGCGCCATTAAGGAAGAAAAAATCAGAGAGCTAAAGAAACGCAAGCAGGAGGAACTGGAAAAGAAGAGGAGAGAAGAGGAAGAGCAGAAGTAAGTTTTAAAAAAAAAAAAATTTTTCCCCTATAGAACACTCACACTCACATGGAACTTCAAAAGAATTCAGGATTTGACAAGCAAAAATTATTTAATTATACAGACGCATCAAACTGGAGAAGGAGCAGCAATGGCAGGAGAAACTGCGGCGTGAAGAGGAGGAGAAACAGAAGATAATACAGGAGGAAAGAGAAGCCAAACTTCATGAGGAGGAGGAGAGGGAGAGACAAACTCGTTTACAGGCTGCTAGAGAACAAGCGGAACGAGAGCGCAAGGCCCGCGAGGAGGAGGAGAGGAGGCGCAGGGAGGAAGAGGAAGAAAGGAGAGAACAAGAAAAACGCAAACTTGAGGAGAAACGGAGGCAGGAGGAGGAGGAGGACCGCAGGCGGCGAGATGAAGAAAAGAGGAAACTGGAGGAGGCGAGGAGAAAACTGGAGGAAGAAAGGAGAAAACTGGAGGAGGAGCGAAAGAGGCAGGAGGAGTTAAGATTGGAGGAGGAGAGGAAGCGGAGAAAGAAAGAGGAGGAGAGACGAGAAGAGGAGAGAAGAAGGGAGCGTGAGGAGGAGGAGAGGAGGCGACTTCGTGCACAGGAGGCTGCCATGAGAGATGCAGAGGAGAGGAAGAGACTAGAAGAGGAGAGAAAAAGAAAAGAGGAGGACCGGAAAAAGCAGGAAGAGGAGGACAGGAGGCGTCGGGAGGAGGAGCAAAGGAAACAGGATGAGGAGAGGAAGAAGAAACAGCAGGAGGAAGAGGCTGCAGCCGTAAGACTGAGAGACGATGAACAGAACAAGAAGAACACTGTTAAATCAGACATTGTTGCTGCTCTTCTGCGCGGCCTGGAGGAGAGGAAAGGTAAGAAAAAGCGTACTGTAAGATTTAAAATCAACCAGCATGGCTAGTTAAGTTATCTCTGATATGATTGGAATGATTGAAAGTATCCTCGTGATTTCAGGCAGCAGACATCCTCTTGGCACGCAGCACAGGAGATCAGCGGCACTGACAACGTTTAAAGCCCTCTACCCCTTCACTGCCAGAAACGATGATGAGCTCTCCTTTGAAAGCGATGACCTGATTGAGGTCAGTTTGAGAGCAAATCTCACAAAACTTGCCAATCGTCTGCCCCAAAATCTAGAAGACAAAATATAAGATGCTAGATTTAGCCTTTTCTTTATTATATTTTGAAGAAAATGAAACCTTTATATATACAAAAAAGTTTTATTTTTTTAACTGATGCCACGTTCTATTTCTGACATACACCAAGTGCTTTTACTACTGATTTAAAGGACAAATTAATTTGCAGCGTCACAGTGTAGAACGCTTCTAGCTGTTGCAGTACAACGGTTGCGTTCGGTGTAGATGTGGTTTAATACTATTATTTAGCACATTAAATAGATCAAATGTGACAATAAAGAATTTTGCATTGTTATAAAAGATTGATAGTTCAAACAAATACTGTTGTTTAACTTTATATAAAAAAAAAATCCTGAAATGTATCATGGTTTTATAAATATACAAAAATACAAATATTCAACAACATTTTTCTTGACCTTTATATCGGCATTTTAGAATGATTTCTGAAGAATCATGTGACATGGAACACGTAGTAGTAGTGGCTGCTCTATGGCTAATGATAAAGAAAGAGGGACAATTACTTTAAATAGTAATACTATTTCTCAATATTACTGTTTTTACTGTATTTTTAATTTAGCTTGGTGACCAAGAGACTTTCACAAACATAAAAAAATGTTACCGGCCCCTAAACTTTAAGTATACACACACACACACACACACACATTCTGATGGTGTGTTGTGTTCTCATATTTATCTGTAATTTCAGAATTATTTTTCTTTGTATGTTTTTTTTTTTCTTTTTTCTTTTTTCTTTTTTGTGTGTGTGTGTGTAATGCAGTACAAAGTCTGTGTTGCGGTAATAACAATTGGCATTGAAAATAATTGCAATTTGGATTTTTTTTTTCAGTGTTAAAAGGGATTGTGGGAACATGTAGTGAAGCTGTGAAACTCTCGTCAGCGTAAGATTCAGATTTAGAGTTTACTCAGCTGGATCTGTGTTTGTTTAGGTGGATGAGAGCACAGAGCGAGAGCAGGGTTGGCTGTATGGCAGTCGGCAGGGGAAGATGGGCTGGTTCCCTGAGAGCTATGTGGAGAAGCAGGCCAAATCAGAGGCTCCGCTCGTGGCCAAACAAGCCCTAAAGCCACAGGTCTCCATCTCTGTCAGGTGTGATCTCCAATCTGACTACCTCATACTGTTCAAATGCTTCATTTACATCTCTTGCGCAATCATTTGTACAATCTTTCTCAATCTGCACTCACAGACAAGGTGCATGTGGGTACAGAGCCATTATAGAAAACATTCACAGCTACAAACTGCATGTCTTTCATGTGAAACAAGCAAAATGCATTTTGAGTACAAGACATGTTCACACCAAGTCTGAAAGTATAAACTATTACGAATTTTTTTTTTCGCATTGTCTAATTAAGTCTTAAAAAAATACAAATGGAAAAAATTATCTGTCAATGTTAAGACTTTGTGTGAATATAGTTCATAAAGATGCACGGTTTCATTTCGAATCTTGAGCATGATGGTAGAACATGTGGAATATTCTAAAACCTTCTTCACCAGCAAACTGAGCGACGGACCGAGTGGATCACGGTTGAACTCCGCTTTCACCCCCACCCCCACCCTTGCCACAGGCTCCGCCTCCTCCAACCATGGTCAGGTATGCAGGATTCCTTGAGAATAACCGCATAGTGTTTATGTAAGCTACAACTTCCTTGTGGTGAAATGCAATGACATTTGCTGCATGTTTTCAGGTGGTGGGGAATGTGCAAGCTCAAGCTCTGTGCTCATGGACCGCAAAGAAGGACAACCATCTCAACTTCTCCAAAGATGATGTGATCACAGTTCTGGAGCAGCAGGAGAACTGGTGGCTTGGAGAGCTTAATAGGATTCAGGGGTGGTTCCCCAAAAGCTATGTTACAGTGCTGAGCGCCAGTGATGCACAAGCAGAGTAAATACAAACACTGTGCTCAAGTGGTTTAATATGAATAATAACAATGCTGAAGTGTTTGTGACCAAAATAGACCGAGTGTGTAGCTGTGAGTGTTACATGTACTTTGTCTGTGGAAAAAGTTCATGTGAAATGGTATTTTCAAACTAAATCAAGTGATTCTTTGCATACTAAAACTCACTGGTGTCCTGAGGTGCAGAGGTTCCTGCAAAGAGACTAATTCTGATGTTGTGTTGCTTTACTTTCTCTGTTTGCAGTTGTCATTATTCATTTGGCATTTAACAGTTTTCTCCTGAAACACTATTCAATCACCTTGTTTGGTGCTTCTTTAATGTTTAATTTCCCTCCCCCCATAGTTCCACTGATGGATCTGATTCCGCAGATGGATCTAGCTATGAAGGTAAGAGAAAATACATTCGGTTTTTCCACTGGGAAACTTTGCAGTTATGAGAGTCTGAAGCAGTTTGCGATTAAGAACAGCTTGCCTTAGTATCTAAGAGAAGATATCTTTGGTGCAATACTGCATATGGTACTGCAACATAAAAATTATTTGCTATTATATAATAAGAAACAAAATGTAGTTTTGTGGATCCCAAAAATTGACATTATGGAGATCGCTCAATTATTAAATTTCTTATGTTATTATTTAATGTAAAGTTTTGGAGCTGGTAAGATTTTTTTAAAATTTATTATTTAGTTATGTTTAATATTTTTTGAAAGAAGTTTCTTTCTCTCCACTGTATTTATTTTATTAAAAATACAGTAAAAACAGTAATATCTCAAAATATTACTACAATTTAAAACAACTTTTTTTATTTTAATGTTTTAAAATGTAATTTACTCCTGCGATGATGAAGCTGAATTTTCAGCAGCCATTACTCCAGTCTTCAGAAATCATTCTAATATGCCAGTTTGCTGTTCAAGAAACATTTATTGTTATTATAAATGCTAAAATCAGTTGTGCTGCTTAATATTTTTTTGAGGGAGTCCTTTGATTGAGGTAAATCTTTTTTCTTTGATGAATGGAATATTCAAAAGAACAGAATTTATTTTAATAAGAAATCTGTTGTAACTTTATAAATGTTTTTACTTTTTGTCATTTTTGATCAATTAAATGCATCTTTGCTGAGGGAAAGAATTTATTTATTTTAATTTTAAATCTTACTGACCCCAAACCTTTGAACGGTAGTGTAATTAGTTATTTAATAATTGATTCTTTAGTGTGATTTAAACATTCTTTGAGGGCAACCCAGACATTTATTTCCTGTGTGTGTACAGTATATTCATTTCCTTTGTATTTCGTGTCTGTTATGCTTGTGAACACACACCACAGATTAATCTCTTGACATCAGTATTGTCCTTGTGATCCGTGTTACCCTGAACCGTGTTTGTATGTTGATCCTGTCATCAGAATACGTGGCTCTGTACACTTACGAGAGCCCTGAGCCCGGAGACCTGACCTTCACCGAGGGAGACACCATCCTGGTATCAGAGAGAGAAGGGGAGTGGTGGAGAGGCAGCATTGGAGACAGATCAGGAGTCTTCCCCTCCAATTACGTCAAGCCAAAGGAGGCTGATGTAATTTTATTTTTGTATTTAAAGACATTTATACATGTTGTTGGTTTGTGATAATAATACATGTTTTTTCTCCTTGTTAGGCATCAAGTCTCTCTGGTAAACTTGGAACACCTGCAAAGAAACCAGGTAAGTACATAACAACATAAAGTTATATGTCAAAATGAAATCACAGTAATGAATCATAATTATTTTAACCTATAATGTGTTATTTTGTTTGTAGAAGTGGCCCAGGTGACCACTGCGCACACAGCTGCAGGTGCAGAGCAGTTGAATCTAGCCCCAGGACAGCTCATCCTCATCCTCACCAAGAACCCTTCCGGCTGGTGGCTCGGGGAACTGCAGGTGAGTGAGCAGTTCATGCTGCTTAAGGGGTTAGTTCGCCCAAAAATGAAAATTCTGTCATTAATTACTCACCCTCATGTCGTTTCAAACCCGTAAGACCTTCGTTCATCTTCAGAACACAAATTAAGATATTTTTGATGGAATCTGAGAGCTGTCTGACCCTGCATAGTAGGGTTGTGACGGTGAGGAAATTTTCCCACCGGTTAATCGACGTGTGACAACACCGGTATCACCGCGGGGGCTTTTCCTCGCTTTCCTTCGCTTTTGGGTGTGCCCATTTTACTTTAACTTTCAAATAGCGGCAATTCGGAGTAAAGCAATTGTTCGTTTTTAGTTTGTTTTAATTTTCCCTCTTTTCATCGCTTTCCTTCACTTTTAAATAGCTTAAAAGCGCCATGCGCATTTTACTTTCACTTTTGAATTAACGGCAGTTCGGCGTCAATTGCTTGAATGCAACAACAAAATACAACATGCTGTTCTGTGTCAGCTGCGTCACATGGATACGCTGTTTTCATTCAGATCAAATCACAACAACATATGAAACTGATTCGGCGTGACGCAGCTGACACAGAACAGCATAAGTTGTTTACGTCCAGCTGATATTCTCCAAAATGGCGCTACAGGGTGATGCGGAGAAGACGAATTGTTGAATAAAAAATAAATGGATTATTTTACAGATCTCCTTGCTATGTTTCTGGACTTGGGAACATTTCAGTTGTATTGCTGTCTATGCAGGGTCAGACAGCTCTCAGATTCCATCAAAAATATTTTAATTTGTGTTCCGAAGATGAACGAAGGTCTTACGGGTTTGAAACGACATGAGGGTGAGTAATTAATGACAGAATTTTCATTTTTGAGTGAACTATCCCTTTAAATACATTAAATGAGCCATTACCTCCAATTATGTTAATCAAGGAACTAATAAAACACAGTTTTAAATGATTTTACTTGATGCTTTTTCCATGTGTTCCATCTTATGGCCCATATTATTTATAATGGATATATTGGTTATGATATATTGGTGTGTTTCAGTTATTAGCTGATTTTTAATTTACTGTCAATAGTTATATATCTGGAATTGCACACACAATAATTGATGATAAAAAACAAAACAAAATTCAAAATAGCTGCAAAAGTTTTTGTTTGTGTCTTCAGGCCAGGGGGAAGAAGCGTCAGAAGGGCTGGTTCCCTGCTTCACACGTCAAGCTTCTAGGCTCAAACAGCGGCAAATCTACACCTGCATCTGCGGCTGGTAAGAAACAGAACAGCTTTCCAAGGTTGTTTTTTTTGGTGAATCTCTCCTCATTCTCACTGTCTGTCCTCACTCTAGTCGGCCAAGTCATTGCCATATACGACTACACCGCCGCGAATGAGGACGAGCTGAGCTTCTCGAAGAGTCAAGTTATCAACGTGTTGGACAAAAGCGATCCTGACTGGTGGAAAGGAGAGCTCAATGGAGTCACGGGCTTGATTCCTACCAACTATGTGAAAATGACCACCTCTGATTCTGACCCCAGTCAGCATTGTAAGTAGAGACCCATAAACAGACCAGTCTATTTTGGTTATGTGTTTTTAATCATTTTGCAGGTTTTTGGTTGTGTTTGCAACAATAAAATTTACTCTTTTTTTTTTTTTTTGAAAATTAAATTGGTTTCAGATTATTTAAAGAAAAAATTGTTGCTGTCTATGCTCCTTAAATGTGGGTGTTTATTATAAGAAATGATTTGTATTTATGACGGAGTGTATTACAATTTCATTACATTATTATAATGACATTTTTATCCTGCTTTAAATATAATCGATATTTAGTGTTATTTTATGGTGCCTTTATGGTTCATTTTATTTTTGCAGTTATAATGGAAAGGGTGTTTCCAGTCTTTTATACTTGTACATGTAGTATCTAATCGAATGTTAGACCTTTCCTCTTCTCAAACTCCATATTTGGCCACGTTTATTTCTCACGCAATCTTTTCCGCTTCGACTTTGTTCTTCATTTGTGTCCTTCTCTGTAGGGACGTAACACCTTTCCTTTCCTTCATCCATAAGAGACCCACTATCCCCCTCTCACAGTGGAGGCGGTCCTGTTGAAACCACCATTTACTCACCCAATCACCCTCCTGTATCTTTCCTCACCAGTCTTATTTCTTTTAAACTAAAACAAGGCTTTTTATTCAGTTGACTGGTAATCTGGACCGATCTTAACTGATTTGTAGGGGGTTAGTAAATCTGGTTTTCCTTTTTTGAATTTTCTTAAATTTTAGTTTGCTTAAAGTTTCTTAAAGGTGGCAGCTTCTTTTATACGGTCATTTTGGGACGGTGAGATTTCACAGTAAAGCTGTTGCTCCTCAGTTTGGATGTTACATTTTAAGGCATGTTACAAAGTGTGAAACTGCCTCAGTATGTCATCGCAATCACATGAATGATACACTTTACATATATACGCTGGTTATAATGCAACTTTAATCTTAGTATTATTAGTCTCTGGTTATTGAAGGCACTTTGACATTTTAAAGAACAAACAGCTGTCACTTTTTGGAGACACTTTCACCTTGAATCTGTAGATGGTTTTCACTCTTTTGCTTTCATTTGATTTATATTCAGTAGTTTTAGTTTGAATTCAATGTAAGAACAAAAATGAAAGACAACTTGTTACTGTCTGTGGTGTATTTGCAAATATAGTTCTGCTGATGCTATTTTAAGCACAATGCTTTCGCCTTAGGTGGTATTGTTACATATTTACTGCGCTATATGCCATGTTTGTGCATGACTCGCTTCTGTATAAACAGATTTGTTAATAATATATGGGAAACTATGCAAATAGTTGTGAAGTTGTGGACCAATGTTTGCCTTAATGTCATTTTATTGGATGTTGTTAATAATACCTAAGATATCTCAAATACTTGGATCTTGTACTTATTTGATTTGAAGAAATCTAGACATTAAAGTCTTTTGGAAAAAAAACAAACGTCGTTCCTTTTTAATTTTTGTAACAAGAGTTCAGTGCCAAAAAACACTTTCAGATATGCATTTTTAAAAAGTGAAAAAAAGCCCATAAATATTCAAATTTTTTATCATCTACAGTAAAATGTAGCCATGTAATGATCTAATTGTTTGATCATTATTCATATTTAATTAGATAGTGGTGTCTCATATATTTCACCACCTTCATGAATTTCTAGTGAATTACTGATAGTATTCCTCTAGCTAATCTTCACTGCTATCTAGTTATAGTTATCCTACTGTTGTATTATGGGTGAAAACAGAATAATCCTGCATGCTTGCAGTGTTCATTACAGTAAATGAGCCGATTTACAAAGCACAGCTCGTAAAAATGAGCGATCATTCAGGGGGTAAACTGCTATTTTTACGGCTCTGGGATGTGGACGATGAAGGCACCACTAAAGGCACCCCGGATGGTCAAACGGACAGACCATCAACAGGTAAGGATTGACGCTGGAGCGGTTTGAAGTGTCATCAACACGCTGCGACTGACATTATCTTCCTTTTAAGTGTGCTTGAGTGTGTTTGCAGTAAGGTTGTTGAAGGATCTTCTGCAGCTGTCAGTTTGTGTGTGTTTTGTTGTGTTTATGGGCTTCGAGTGTCTAGGTGAGTTCACCTGTACCGTTTTCTTGTAGGGTGTGCTGACCAGAGCACTCTGGATTCAATGAGCCCGCAGGAGAAGAAACGGCAAGGATACATCCACGAGCTCATTGAGACAGAGGAGAAATACAATGAAGACCTACAGCTAGTCCTTGAGGTACACAGTCACAGATCAACTAATTAACATTTATTTATTTAGCAGACCGTTTTAGCCAAATCAACTTAGTAATATGAATAAAACAAGCAATTTACAGAAGAGGTGCCAACCGTTTTAGTGGTACCACAATACCAGGATGAGTAATCCAAAATGAAGCAATGAAGATGAAAAAAAAGAAGTTTTTTTTAACTTTATTATATGTTGCATTATTTATTTAGTATGTTATTAAATGAAAGTTTGTATTTTCAGTTTATATATTTTAATGATTTTATTTAATTACATAAATATGAATAATATTAAGCTTTTTTGCCATATTCAGTATGAATTTTTGAAAGTACAAATATCCCAAGTAGTGTAATAATAGTCTAATAATTAATAATAGTGTAATAAAATAGTATAATAATTATATAGAATTAGTAAAATACTTGTATTACTTTGCAAAACAGTACATTTGGATTGTCATAGTGCTTTTTTAAATTAATTTGTATTATATTTGATTTAAATATGTGTTTGTGTGTGTGTGTGTGTGTGTATATATATATATATATATATACACACACATATACACTCTAAAAAATGCTGGGTTCTTTTTTTAACCCAAATGCTGGGTTCAGCCTGTTGGGTCATTTTATTTGGTTGTTTGTTTTATTTTTACCCAGGTGCTATATTATAAGAATAAAATAAAAGAATAAGAATAAAAATGCTATTATATTTAAAAATTATTATATTATATTATATAAATTAAATTGTTCTGGTGTTCACTATATTAAATGTACTTATTTTTCAAGATTGTTAATAATGGAATGAATTCTGCCACCAATTCTTATTGACACTATAAACATCCTCCACGATGCCATTAGTGAAGCGACGGCTTTATCTGAAATAGAAATCTTTTGTAACATTTATTAATGTAATAATTAAATATTTTATAATACATAATTTTTTTTTTTATGAAGATAAAATTATATTTTTCCTGTTGTCTTTCTTAAGGTCTTCTACAAGCCCATGTCTGAATCAGGTCGTCTCACTGAGGCTGAAATGAACATGATATTTGTCAACTGGAGGGAGCTTATCCAGTGCAACTCCAAGATGCTCAAGTATGTGAGGTTAACTTAACTAAATATTTTTTATCTTTTACCAATGTGAAGTGTATCATGCATGATGTGTGCATTGTCAGGGCACTGAAAGCAAGGAAAAAGACCGGGGGAGAGAACATGCCTGTTCACATGATCGGAGACATCCTGGCCTCTGAGCTGTCACACATGCAGGCCTACATCCGCTTCTGCAGCTGCCAGCTGAACGGTGCCACGCTGCTGCAACAGAGAACCGATCAGGAGCCAGACTTCAAAACTTTCCTCAAGGTAGCCTCACATACATCACTTAAACAGTTAAAAATACTTATGTTAAAATAGACGTTAAGCTTTATTTAATTTTACCAAACCAAAATTATGCAAAGCTATATGTGACCCTGGACCACAAAACCAGTTATAAGGGTCAATTTTTGGAAAATGAGATTTATACATCATTTGAAAGCTGAATAAATAAGCTTTCCATTGATGTATGGTTTGTTAGGATAGGACTATATTTGGCCGAGAGACAATTATATGAAAATCTGGAATCTGAGGGTGCAAAAACATCAAAATATTGGGAAAATCGCCTTTAAAGTTGTCCAAATGAAGTTCTTAGCAATGCATATTTCTAATCAAAAATTACATTTTGATATATTTACTGTAGGAAATTTACAAAATATCTTCATGGAACATGGTCCGTGTACGTTTTGATAATTTCATCTCCTATTTGGAATGCAATAACGAGAAATGGAAAAACGGCTAGTTTATTCGTTTTTCCGTTTAGTTTAACAAAAGGAAAATGAGATTTTGGCTCGATTTCTCATTTTTCGTTTGGGGTTTTAACTTTTTTTTTTTTATTTCTTTTTTCTTTTAAGATTTGTCACATTCACTTCAATTGCGTTATTGTAACCCCAATTTTTTTCAAGAAATGTTTTGAAGTAAGGACGGATAAAATCTCCCTACATAACGTATTCTTGAAAAATCCAGACGAGACGAGACTGGTAAATTCATTTCTCGTTATTGCGTTCCAAATAGGAGATGAAATGATCAAAACGTACACGGACCGAACATGATCTTTACTTAATATCCTAATGATTTTTGGTATAAAAGAAAAATCAATAATTTTGACCCATGCAATGTATTGTTGGCTCTTGCTACAATTATACCCAAGCGACTTAAGACTTTTTTTTCATTATTTATTTGATATCTTATTAAATGAAAGGCTATATTTTTGGTTTATTTATTTTAATGATTTTATTTATTTATTGAATGAAATATAAGTAATATTAGTTTTTTTTGCAGTTCATGGTCTTTCAGTATGGCATATACATTTTTGAAAGTGCATATATCCCAAGTATTATAATAATGTATAGTGATGATTAATAGCATAATAAAATAATATTATAATTGTGCATAATTTATATCATCATCAATGTGAGTTTTTGGTTTAAATATTTTCTTGGCAGTAATGTTAATTGTAATATTTTTTTTTTTTCTTCAGAAAATTGCTACAGACTACCGTTGTAAAGGAATGCCTTTGTCTAGCTTTTTACTCAAACCTATGCAAAGGATCACTCGCTATCCTCTCCATATTAAAAATGTGAGTACAGTGAAAATAACTTATTTTAGATCTGTTTCATTATTCTATATCTGTTATTTTAGATGTTGATCATTAATGCAAATGATTAGTGCATTGTTAATGTTAACCAATACTTGTGTGTATTTGTGTGTCCAGATCCTGGAAAGTACTCCAGACAGTCACATGGACTGTAATCAGCTGCGAGAGGCTTTGGAGAAGGCAGAGCTGCTGTGCTCTCAGGTGAACGAAGGTGTCAGGGAGAAGGAGACCTCTGACAGGCTGGAGTGGATCCAGTCCCATGTGCAGTGTGAAGGCATCACAGAGGTACAAAAAAAGCACAGTATTTTAGTCATGTGACATTTGGATCAGTCATAAGCTATCGTCTAGATGTACACTACCATTCAATAGTTCTCTCTAGTCTGTAAGATTTTTGAAGAAGTCTCTTATGCTCATCAATGCTGCATTTATTTGATCAAAAATTAAGTAAAAACAGTTATACTGTGAAATATTATTACAATTTAAAATAATAGTTTTCCGTTTAATACATTTTAAAATGTAATTTATTCCTGTGATGGCGAAGCTGAATTTTTAGCATCATTACTCCAGTCTTCAGTGTCACATGATCCTTCAGAAATCATTCTAATATGCTGATTTGCTACTCAAGAAAAATGTTGTATTATTAACAATGTTGAAAACAATGGGGCTGCTTAATATTTGTGTGGAAACAGTGATACATATTTGTTCATGATTCTTTGAATAGAAAATTCGAAAGAACAGCAATTATTTGAAAATCTTTTATCTCTTTGATCAATTTAATGCATCCTTTCTCAATAAAAGTGTTAATTTATTTTTTAAAAATCTTACTGACTAAATTTTTGAATGGTACCATAAAATTTGAGGGCTGATTGGTTGAAAGACTTTGGCTTAAACTTTCATGTACCGCTGTGTATTAGATTTCTTATTCTTCTATTGTGCCACTTGTCTAGAATCTGACCTTCAACTCTCTGACCAACTGCTTGGGTCCTCGTATATTGCTGCACAGCGGGAAGGTGTTTAAGACCAAGAGCAACAAGGAGTTATACATCTTTCTGTTCAACGACTTTATGCTGTTCACTCAAGCTGTCAAGCAGTTCAGTTCCTCAGGAACGGACAAGCTCTTTAGCCCCAAGTCCAACACCCAGTACAAGATGTATAAGACGGTAGGGTTCCACTCCTCTTTACAGATTAGCGTTCCTTTATGGTTAAACCTATGAACAAAAGAAAAAAAGCTCTGGGGTATTGTGTATGTTTGTGTTCCTAGCCTGTGTTCCTCAATGAAGTTCTGGTGAAGCTTCCGTCAGATCCGTCCAGCGATGAGGCCGTCTTCCACATTTCCCACATAGATCGTGTGTACACACTGAAGACTGAGAACATTAACGAGAGGTCTGTTTCAGCGACTGCTCGCTTTATCAGTCTTATCAGCAAGCCACTATTTACTGGACACTATGGGAGGCTTTATGAACCCTTAAAGGAATGTTGTTATAGCCACACTGTATGGGTAGAGAAAAAACAACCGCTTTTCATGCTGCTGAAATGCCACTGCAAGTGGAATTGACAGAATTTTAATGCAAATGAATGTTTAGGGAAAACACTTACTTTTTGCTTCAAGCAACATTTTATGACACAAAATGTTTTATCTCCTTGGAATCCTGCTAGGACTGCATGGGTTCAGAAGATCAAAGCGGCATCAGAAGCATTCATTGAGACAGAGAAGAAGAAACGGGAAAAGGCTTATCAATGTAAGTTTTATTTATTATTTGGAACACTGAATAGGAGTACTCGCCTAATACACAACAATCCATAGGTTTGGGGTCAGTAATATTTTTGTGACATGAATAATTTTATTCAGTAAGGTGCAGTAAATTGATCAAAAGTTACAGTAAATTAATGTATAATGTTACAAAGGATGTCTATTTAAAAATGCTTTTGTTTTGGAGTTTCTATTCATCAAGGAATTCTGAAAAGATGAATCACAGTATTTTATTAAGCAGCACATTGATAATAATAAGAAATGTTTCTCGAGTACTAAATCAGAATATTAGAATGATTTCTGAAGGATCATGTGACGCCAAAGACTGGAATAATGGCTGTTGAAAATTCAGCTTTGCCACCACATGAATAAATTACATTTTAAAATGTATTAAAATAGAAAGCAGTTATTTTAAATTATAATATTTCACAATATTACTGTTACTGCATTTTTGATCAAATAAATGCAGCCTTGATTAGAATAAGAGACTTCTTTCGAAAACATTAAAAGAAGTTTAGTTAGAAGTCATAAATTCTTACTGACCCCAAACTTTTGATTGCCAGTGTATATCATAGTCTGTAAATAAATATAAATAATTATTACAACAGGTTGGCTAAGTTCATGTTTTTATACTTTTTTTTTTTACAGCTCGATCAATGAAGGCAAGTGGAATTGGTCGCCTGCTTGTCACCATCTTGGAGGCAACAGAGCTAAAATCTTCCAAACCAAACGGTGAGTGGTTTTATTAAATGAGACCCTGGACCACAAAACCAGTCATATGGGTCAATTTTTCGTTGATAAATAAGCTTTCCGTTGATGTATGGTTTGTTAGGATAGGACAATATTTGGCTGAGATACAACTATTTGAAAATCTTGAATCTGAGGGGGCAAAAAAAAAATCTAAATTCTGAGAAAATTAGCTTAAAAGTTGTCCAAATGAAGTCCTTAGCAACACATTACTAATCAAAAATTAAGTTTTTATATATTTACGGTAGGAAATTGACAAAATATCTTCATGGAACATGATCTTTACTTAATATCCTAATGATTTTTGGCATAAAAGAAAAATCGATAATTTTGACCCATACAATGTATTGTTGGCTAAATATTAGAATGATTTCTGAAGGATCATGTGACACCAAAGACTGGAATAATGGCTGCTGAATATTCAGCTTTGCCACCACATGAATAAATTACATTTTAAAATGTATTAAAATAGAAAGCAGTTATTTTAAATTATAATATTTCACAATATTACTGTTACTGCATTTTTGATCAAATAAATGCAGCCTTGATTAGAATAAGAGACTTCTTTCGAAAACATTAAAAGAAGTTTAGTTAGAAGTCATAAATTCTTACTGACCCCAAACTTTTGATTGCCAGTGTATATCATAGTCTGTAAATAAATATAAATAATTATTACAACAGGTTGGCTAAGTTCATGTTTTTATACTTTTTTTTTTTACAGCTCGGTCAATGAAGGCAAGGGGAATTGGTCGCCTGCTTGTCACCATCTTGGAGGCAACAGAGCTAAAATCTTCCAAACCAAACGGTGAGTGGTTTTATTAAATGAGACCCTGGACCACAAAACCAGTCATATGGGTCAATTTTTCGTTGATAAATAAGCTTTCCGTTGATGTATGGTTTGTTAGGATAGGACAATATTTGGCTGAGATACAACTATTTGAAAATCTTGAATCTGAGGGGGCAAAAAAAAAATCTAAATTCTGAGAAAATTAGCTTAAAAGTTGTCCAAATGAAGTCCTTAGCAACACATTACTAATCAAAAATTAAGTTTTTATATATTTACGGTAGGAAATTGACAAAATATCTTCATGGAACATGATCTTTACTTAATATCCTAATGATTTTTGGCATAAAAGAAAAATCGATAATTTTGACCCATACAATGTATTGTTGGCTATTGCTACAAATATTCCCCACGCTATTTATGAATGGTTTTGTGGTCCAGGGTCACAAATAATAATAATAATATTATAAAAAATAAAATAAAAAAATCTTCCCAAAACATTAGTTAATATGTGTGCTTTTTTAGATACAACTATTTGAAAATCTTGAATCTGAGGGGGCAAAAAAAAAATCTAAATTCTGAGAAAATTAGCTTTAAAGTTGTCCAAATGAAGTCCTTAGCAACACATTACTAATCAAAAATTAAGTTTTTATATATTTACGGTAGGAAATTGACAAAATATCTTCATTGAACATGATCTTTACTTAATATCCTAATGATTTTTGGCATAAAAGAAAAATCGATAATTTTGACCCATACAATGTATTGTTGTCTATTGCTACAAATATACCTTTTAAATTATAATAATAATTCACAATATTACTGTTTTACTGCATTTTTGATCAAATAAATGCAGCCTTGATTAGAATAAGAGACTTCTTTCGAAAACATTACAAATTCTTACTGACCTCAAACGTTTGATTGGCACTGTATGTCATGGTCTTTAAATAAATGTAAATGATTATAACAATACTTTTTTACAGCTCGATCAATGAAAGCAAGTGGAATTGGTCGCCTGCTTGTTACCATCTTGGAGGCAACAGAGCTAAAATCCTCCAAACCAAATGGTGAGTGGTTTTATTAAACAAATAATAATGGTGAATATAAATAAATAAATAAAAAACTATCTTCCAAGAACATTAGTTAATACTTGTGCAATGTTTTTTAGGAAAGAGTAATCCATACTGTGAAGTGACCATGGGTTCTCAGTGCTACACTTCCCGAACCATCAATGACACTGTCAACCCCAAGTGGAGCTTCAATTGTCAGTTTCACATTAAAGACCTGTATCAAGATGTCCTCTGTATTACGATTTTTGAGCGGGAGCAATTTTCACCAGATGGTGAGTGTGAAAAATAGCAAGTATAATACTGTTTCTACATAATTTAATTTTAAACTGAACTACCGTATCTTAGTATTTTAGCATGTATAATTACACATTCCCTAAAAACGGGTATTGTTCTATTTGTCTTTCTCCCTCCATAGACTTCTTAGGTCGCACTGAGGTTCCTGTAGCCACTATTAAGAAAGAGCTTGAAAATAAAGGTCCGTCCACTAGGAGGCTGCTGCTTCATGAAGTTCCCACTGGAGAGGTTTGGGTTCGGCTTGACCTGCAGCTGTTTGACCACAAAGCCCCCAAATGATGAGGAGAGAGGATGTCTCTTAAAGACTGCACTTCAAGCACAGCTTCTCAACACTAGCATCTCAAGATTGCCTTAAAATGTTCTCAACTACTATGGAACGTACTAATGAATGTGTGACCATAAGGAAGAAGAGTTAACGTTCACAACTTTGCCAAGTTTTGATTTTTGACCAAGTGACATGGGAACGAAAAGGGAGAATTTGGGATTTTTTTTTGTTTTGTTAGTTTTATTGCCTAAATAATTTACCACTGGATGTAGAGATGTCTCAGGACCTATATTTTGCTTCAAATATACTGTCTTTATTGCTGTACAGAAAGCTATATTTGTTATAATCGTAACTTGCCTAGACCTGAAGTTGATGAGAACTTTTTTGAACTTTCTCATCAGCAACACTAAACCAGGTGGTGTTTTTTTCATTCATTATCCATCTGCCTTACCTGCCAGTTCTTCCATTTAACTTCACCATTATAGAATTAATTTGCACCAGCCAGTTGATCCTCTATAAAATCGTATAACAGCTTGTTAGCCTGTGTTACATGGAAGGAACTTTTTTTGCAGAGCTTACTAGTTTTTATGTAGGAAGGAAGGTACAAATGAGGTGATTAACCAGAGATGATTGGTTAAAGGTCTAAACACTGCTGATTTCGCGTGCTTGACTTGAGTTTTATTTATGTTAATTTATGCGTCTTGGACTATCTTCACATTTTACGCTGCCCACTATATCTGGATTGCTGTAAAGCATTCAGAAAAGGTGTTAATATTGTATATTTTTGCTGAGTTGGAGTAGTATGAACGTTTACTCAAGGGACTGAGTCACTGAGTTTGTCTCTTAGGTTTTATTTGTTTTAGTTTTAAATATAAATGTAATAAAGTTTGTTGAATATTCTGAAAATGTTTTTGTTCTTAAAATATTTTTTCCTTACACCCGTTTTTCTTTATCTTTTTCTCTCGCCAGTTTTCGTTTCCTTTTTGCGAAGTATTAGTTTTGAAAAACAAATATTGTATTGTCAGAAAGACCTCGAAGCACAAATATGCAACAAAATCAGCTTCAGATGCAAATAAAATTAAAATACTGTAAAGTTAGACCTCTAAGCACAAATAATATGCAACAAAATCAGCTTCAGATGCAAATAAAATTAAAATACTGTAAAGTATACTGGGTGATTGTCTTCACTACAAATGAAATGTTTTATTAATTGTAAGAGGACAAGTTTATTTTTATTTTTTTGTCTGTAATATACGGTCATACATACGCCAATAGTCATGAATATTAATTAGGGCTCTGTTAATATTCACGAGTCAGGCGGTTGTTAAGGGCGACAGCGTTCAGCAACTTTGTTGTTGTGAATGCACACCATATCTAATAAACGTTTCGAGCACTTTCTGAGGTAATGTGTTACGTATAAATATGAACCCATTTCCAAAGTTATTAGAAGGCTGTCTCATTGACACAAAACATGTAGAGTCCGCAGCGATATTTGTGGCGAAAACTGGCGACGTAACGGCAGCGTCCAACTTTACAGTAAGTTTACTGCAACTCTGTGCATTCCAACAGACAAACATGTATCATTTAAGGTTTTATCGATAATATTTGTTTACAACAGACATGTCCATTTAGGTGAATCAGTTTAATCTCTTCAAACAGGTCTGTCCAGAACAAACACAGATGTTTCTAGACGCCTTCAAGCACGTGAATGTAACGAGGCAGAGAGGACTCGACTTCAGGAGCAAACACTACACCTGTGTGCGTGCTGACAAACACTCCATATACACAAAATATGTAGGTAACACACTAAATATACTCTAATCTTTAATCAGACCTGCTCAAAAATATGCATTTCCAACAAGTAAACCCAGTCAATGTAACGTTAAGCCACTTAATAAGTTGTGCAGCCTATAACGCGTCCCTTTTCATAGTTTTCCGTTTCTTTTGCCCCTTTTTTTTTGTCACATATGACAAGTTTTTTCAGTTACAAAACTGCTTCATCTTTTTTTTTTTTTAAGGAATACAATATTATATCAAATTACTAATGCCAACAGTTCGACCCTTCAGTTAGACCTTTTTTCCTCTCTAGACAGCAACAACATTCAACATATTTGAGAAAAAAATAAAAGTAAAAAAAAATAAAATAATAATATTAATAATAACTTTAATTCAAAAATGAAAAGAGTGTCTGTATAAACTGGATATTTTTAACAACGAGATCCAAACAAAAAAAAGTGCATCACCTCATTGACTCATAATAAAAGTTGCAAATGTAAACACATCATTCACTGATTTTTCATTACTGTTTTTGTTTAGGAAGGACATGGCCTGATATTGGTAAGAACTGCACTGTATGTGATTGTTGCCACATATTCACAGAGCATGTATCCGAGTATCTGTGTGGAAGCAGTTGAGAAACTAGGTGAGCTAAAATCTTACACAAAAGTTTTTCAAAATAAACTTTTCTGCTCAACTATTTGATAATAATGTTTGTATTTTAGCCGAGTATCTGCGTGAAAAGGGAAACTGAAGCTCGTCATATAAGACCTGAAGAGGTGAAGAATCTATTCAGTGTGATTTTTAACACTATTGACGAGAAGCTATGAACTGTACTCAGTCTGCTTAGTTACAGTAACACCAAGGTAGGTTGTTTCCGTATGGCACAGATAAACAAGAAACATAAAAAGCATGTTTTTTGGATTCATGTAATGGGATTTTAATTTACACATTGAGATCTGGCATCTTAAAATATACACACAACTGTAGTTTTACATCTCAACACTAAACATAACGACACACAAACTCAACTGCCACAACTTCGGCAACAAGATCTTTCACAGAAAGAATATAAAACTCCATAGAGACTGCAAACAGAACAAAAACTTTTACAACTGAATGTTATTGGTGTTACCATTCATATAAACAGAGAACATGTTACACAGTCTTATATTATTCAGCTTTTTTGTTTAGAATAAGAACTCTTAATGAACTGAAGATGTTAAATATTGTAAGATAGGTAGAAAGAGCATAAACAATCTATGTTTGACCTGATCATTCACAGTGTTGAAGTTTGTAGCAGTCACCTGTCATAATAAGCTTGTATCACCAACTGAACCAATTAGAGATCAGTACAATTTGCATTTTCATGTTGCACACATCTATATCATATACTCTGTTTTTTCATTGCAGAACAATAACACGGTATACGTTAAACTACACAGTTCTTTAAAATCAATCCCTAAAGCCCATTCATCATTCATGCATCACATCAGTGCTTATTTAATGTGCTCCTTGATAACCATGGAAAACCACAGACTTAAGAATAAACAAGAGCATGTCCATTTACAGTACGTATCACACAAAAACCTTATTCATTTGCTAGAGACATATTTCAGTATACAGTGCTTTCATAATACACAGTCCATTTCATCCTTTAATAAGATAGAAACAATAGACACAACTGGGTAAAGGTCTTGGTGTTGGTAGAATATAAAGATTGTTTAAAAAATAAGTGAACTGGCTGAAGGTGTCTGAACAGGGGAAGTCGGCGGTGTTCCCTCTTATCAGAAGAGGGAAGACATGATCCACGACCTCACATAGACGTCCATAACTAAAACACACAAGAATATACAGATGAATTTACTGTCAGACTGACTAATTTTAAACTATTAGACACTACTAAATTATCTACTGTTAGATTCTGATGAGAATCATTGATAATAATGGAAATGACAAAAACGTGAAATGTCCAGATGCATTTAAATGAGACTTTAGAAGGAAATATGGGCTTAATTATTATAAATAATAATTATAAATAATTTTAAAACAGGCTCCGTTTTAATGCTAAATATGTTTATTTTTAAATTTGTATAATTATTAGTAATTTTTGATGACGGAATTGACAAAAACAATCAAAAGTATAAAAATGTCTGAATGCATTTAAATGACAAATGGGAAAATGAGATAATTATCATAAAAATATTGTCACAAACAAACAAACAAAACGGGGTTAGTTTTATTGCAAAATATCTTTTTCTTTCTTTTACAATGAGACAGACATGTTTTCATTAGATCCAGAACTGTTGCAATCACTTACGATGATATGTTGGTCTTTGCATGTTCTTGGATGAGCTCTCCCTTAGGATTCACAGTGAATATTCTGTTCAAAGGCACTCCAACCTCTTTATATGAATAAACATCCTGGAGAGAAGAACATTCCTTAGAAATTTGCATATATCAGATGAAGGTCATGTTAGCAGTTCTTGCTACTAGTACTTACTGTTGCTCTGTTTCCAAAAGCAGCATAGAAGGGTTCTGTGTTTGGATAGAACAGGTTTTTAATGTCGGTCAGACATTCAATTTTAAACTTTTCTGGCTTCTTCTCAATGACCTCCCTGAAATGAAAAGAAAAGACATCAGTTACATGTAATATGGCATTCTCTCAATTTTTTAAAGCCTATACATGTTTTGCGTGTGTGTTACAACCTGTGAAATGCAGAGAACAGACTACTGGGACTAAGCAGCACAGGTCCCATGGGTAGCATGGTGCCTCTTTCATTAACCCAGTGCAGGTAACCCCGGGTCATATCAGCCATGCCAATCGCCCGAGCTGAACAGTACATAAACTTGTAGCCATTCCTGTTAGACAAAGATAATTAGATATATTAGACATTTTAAAATGGGCCAAAAATCTTTTTGCTCACATGTGTGGTGTGGGACTCACTGGCTGACTTTGTGGTAGAGTCGGGCAATGCCCTGATGGGTCCAGTCTTTACCCAGAGTGGGTAAAATGTGTCCCAGGGTGTCAGACCTGAAGGAGATTTTGCAATTTAGACTGTACCTTCATTTTTTTCATCTGACAAACCCATTACATTGCCACAGAAAGTTGCCTTGAGTAGTCTCACCTTGTGATGGTGCCATCGATATCTGAAATCACTATCTTGTCATCCCAGTTCCACAGATAAAGGGTGCCCTCACAGCGGCAGGTGCCCTGATACTGGGTGGTGACGCTGAAGACCACATCATTGGGGCCATCTTTTAAGTGCAGACTGGCCTGTGAGGAACATGCTTGTAGCGTGGGTTTCCATAACCTATTCTGTGACTGAATTTACAGGCTTTATGGAAAATGAGATGCTTACTAGCTGTTCTGAGGACAAACGAAGTGTCTTCCTGTAGCAGTGGCCTCCAGTGCAGTGGAGAACTTCAGGCTGATTGCTCACAGGATTCTGTTTAGCACCTTCACTGTCATCTTCACTGGATGATGATTCATCCTTTAATCTATGAAAAATACCACCAGTCAAAATGTATACTCTATAAAAAATCTACATTCTCAGTCTTCTAAAATATGTTTTGTTTGATAAGTCACACAATTGTCTCTGCATCTGAGCTCATTCTAAAATTGAGTTCATATTCTAAAACCTGATTTTGTAGTTACTGTCTATAGAAGTCTTAAAGGTACAGTACCAAAAACTGTATTTCTGTTTAAGGGCCAGATTTACTAAACGGCAAATTAGCGTGTGCCGATGGGAGGGGAAAATTCTGCAGGTGATTTACTGACAATGCGCACATTAAAGAATACAGGTACAGCCTGTTTATTTCCATAATGACCAGCGCAGTCTACCAAGAGCAGCGCAAATTACCGCCTGCTTTACGACATGCTTTTTTTGGGGCGTTAAATAATGGCGCAAATACCAGTAATTTGACGAGCGCAAACGTTAGTAAAACTCGGTTCGTGACTCATTTGAATACTCTCCCATAAATTTTGCGCCTGAAAGAGAAACTCCTACAAATGCATATTCAATAAGGTTAGGCACAAAAATAACTGTGTCCATGCCTTTTCAGCACTAATTCTTCACTGCATGCTTTTAGTAAACCCTGACAGTACTATTTTAATGCCAAAAGACAGTTTGGGCTGGCACAAGCTGTTAGTAACTGGCCCTAGGTCTGTTTAATTCTAAAGACCTGAGAGATGGTGTAACATGTTAGTGTAAACCTTAATAACAACTTTTGGATGCGAGAGACCTTGTCTAAAGACTGATATGAATGTCCAGTGCAAATATTTGGTGCGATCAACATTATAATTTGAATGAATGGCTATTAATGTGTCTGTACAGACTGATTTGCATGCTGTCAATGCAACAGTTTTTTATGGAGAGGCAAAAAAAAAATCTCTTTTCCACTGCACTGCGTATAAAACTGACAAACCGATAAGATTTGCGCTTATGGTCACATGTCCAGAGCTGCTGCTGTTACACATACTTACGACTTGGTGGTACTTACGAACAGAACTACTATTTTTACGAAACTATTTTGCTACGCCTTTGCTAGGCATAGAGGAATGTGGAAGCGACTCTTCTGTCTCTACTCTTGTATTTGGTGTTTTTTTTATACAACTGTACTTCAGCTGAAATATGCTAAGAAAATGCAGAATATGACCCTTTAATCTATTAGCCAGAACATGTTGTGTTTTTCTAAATATGAAACATTAGGTACCTGCTCACAGATGCTGTTCTTATAGAATCCTCTCCACCTTCAATCTGGTCAGATGCTGATTCCTGTTGCAGTAGGAATGACAGTAACTCATTTGCATGTTTTTTTTTTTGCATATATAATATTTGCAAACCTGCCAAGTCAAAAAGTCTTGTGATAAATCTGGTATCATTTCACACCCTTAATTCAATTCACAATTATTTCCTATATGCAATAATGCAAACGTACTGATTTGGAGCTGTTGTTTCTGCCCCTCCATGAAAACCACCAGCGTCCTCCTTTCTTGGGCATCTTCTCCTTCATGATGTTCTCCACTGTGGCCTGGAGCAAACGCACAGAGCCCCTGATACTCAAAACTCAAAAACTAAATGACAGGATGACTGTGACTGAACAAACATGCAGCTAATAAATCAACACAAATTCACAAAGACGTACAGGACT